GGGTATAGTTTTTGTTGTTTTTGATGACTTCCAATCTTATGGTGTGGTTTATGTGGCATCATAGTGTAGGTTACACATAGGTTTACTAAATACTTCTATAGGTTATTAATGTTTTAAAAACGACTTGTTAATGTTGTAAATCTTGATCTGCTTATGGGGTAAATTGATTTAATCAATGCTCTGCTTGGCATCTAAACTTTGGAGTAGTCTCTTGTATGTCTTACCATGAAAATAGTGGAGCAATTACTACATGAATTATATTTATAAGCACTTGAGAATGAGCCACTAGCTTTCTAAATTGCAGGTTGCTGTCAACACTGTCATTCAAGATGAAAAAGATTTTCTTGACCATATAATCAAATCAACCAACATGAAGTGCCTTACTGCGCTGTAAGTTATCTGTTTGCCTTTAAGTGTGGAAAGTTGTACTTGGTTGTTATGTATGCCTTTACTGATTTTGATGTATTTATTGATGTCCATACCATCTTGTTCTAGATTATTATCATTTTCTATTTTGTATAGTACTATAGTCCAAAGTTGTGATACATGAAACTTGTTTTGAGACAATTTTGGAGACTACATATGTAAGAGAAAAGGGGGGACTTGTAGCCACAGGATTATTGTGCTGTATAAAACTTAGAACTTCAATATCGATGACAAACAAATTGTGTTTGATTGGTGCTTATTATTTTCCATTATAGATAAATTGATGTACTTTGATGTATACGGACTACCAAGAATATGAGTTTGTCCTGCATGAAAATGTGGAAGTACTTGAATTGATTTGTCATGTATATGATGGTGTTTGCATAAGACTGAGTTTAGGACTACTCTTCTTAGCGACCTTTAGAATCTAAGAACCACTGGTATTATGGTTGCTGTATAGACCTAGGAGCTTACCAAATTATACCTAGTCATCGTGAGAACAGTGTGTATCAGGGGAAATTTGGCTATTCCAATTATTACATGTTTTATTTTGGTGTATATTCAGAAATCATGAAAGAATTTGAAGTTGGATAGCACAAGTTACTTTATCACGGGAAAATTAGTAAACTTTTTAAAATTGGATCATACACGTTATTTTTAGTTGAAATAGTAGTTTATCATTGCATAGCCTTGAGTTTTTGCTTTAGGTTTTAACTCACAGACCCTAACTGTGTTTTGTTGTTCTGGAGTTATCACCTATTTCTCTATGTAACTTCTTGCATCTTCTTGATGTTTTACCACCTCTTAATTAATAAAAAAAGAAAAGAAAGCGTAGTTTATTATTACAGGAACTAGTTTAGTTTCTTTATTTTACCGCTGTTTTTTTACTGTTAGATGTAATTGAACTGCTTCGAATGAGTTTCTAAATAATGTATTCAAGCTCCAGAATGGCCTTTCAGTTCATTTTGTTCTGTTACTGATCTGGATATATTGAGCAATATTATTTGTCCTGGTGATGCATGGCTTGGTTGACACGTATATGCGCTTTCATGCATGATTCCAGGTCTGCTTTGGAAGGGGAATGCGGGTTTCTCGCTGCTAACTTGTATGCAAAGAGTGTGTTTGGCGAGGATGCTTTGGTGAATGTAAGCATTGAGAAACAAGCAGATAGTAAGCTAAGCGGCTACATCAGGATAAGGAGCAAAACCCAAGGAATTGCTCTTAGCTTGGGAGACAAGATAACACTCAAGCAGAAGGGAGGCAGTTGATCAGGTCAACTTGAATTTAGTATCACCTAGATATGCTGGTATCTTATGCTCTCCATCTTTAAAGAGATTTTGCATCTTTATTTGGTTTTACCTTATGTATTCTTGTTATAATTAAAATGAGGTGGCTTTTTATTGAGTGGTTGTTAGGACAGAAACCAATTCAATGGGTACCTATTATATTGCATGGCTTATGGAATACATAGGGGACTGAAGTAAAATAACTTGTTGAAATACTTGTTGTAAAAGAAAATATTGAAGTACTGTTATTGTTATCCATCTGATGGGGAATCTTGCTACTTTTGAAAGTTGTATAGAACACTTTCAAAACAATAGTACTTGGAAGCTTTGATCCTTATCAATAACAAGGAGCTGCAAACATTGATAACTAAAATACCTGTACGTGTCTTTTTTGTTTTAACCCTTTTTTGGGTGGTAGTCCATTCTGCAGATCATGATTATTTCACTAGCAGTGATAGCTAAAATACATGGGCCTGTGTGTCATTTTTCTGTAAATCCTTGTTGCATGGTGAAATGTTGTCCAGATCATGTTATTTTACTAGCAGTGACAAATGCATGGACTCTTTAACTCTTTTAGTGGTACTGGGTTCTCTGTACTGATAAGACACTCAATTTGAAAATTTTAGGAAATCATCATTGGTCGCTTCTTTAAGTCTTTTTAAAGTCTAATTTGATATGGCTGTGAATATTCTTTTTCTGGACAAGGCAACCTTTTGCAGATATTTTACTGTAAAGCATTTTCCTCCCCCGTTCTTTTCCAACTCCTTAGAGTAGATAGGAAAATCCTTCAGATACCTGTACTCTTACGTAAAGTTGCTCACTCTTTATGGTGATCCACTGATTAGATTACAGATACTTAGCCGTGGATGTGGCTTTGTGACAAGAATATGCAGGTGCATGACACGGGTGCACACACTTCTTTTGTCTTCAATTTTAAAATGATACACAGATTGTTTAGTGCGTAGTGTTATATACTACACACACAATTATAAATTGGCTTGACCTTCACATATACTTGAATGTATATGTGATTGTATCATTCACGGACTAGTTATGTGTTGTAATTTTTGTTATGGATAATGTAGGGTTTTGTCATGCATAGTTATCAAAGTCGAGACTGATGCAGAGTTTTGTATTAGAAACAAGACGTTATTTTAATAGTGCAAAGTGTAATACCGAGTCTACTTTCTTATACGAAAAGATGAGTCCTTTTATAGTTTCCTGCTAGGCTTCAGTTTCCATCTCTTTTAAATGTGAATATCATCTTTGAATATACGACCTCATTAGTTCTTCATAATTTGCAGATTTATACACTTTGAATTTGAGGCTCCTCCAAATCCCCCATTTGCAGCTTGGAAGAGTGCCGGGGTTATTGAAAGAACATGTAGAGATTATAATACTGCATTTATTGTTAGTTTCAGATACAAGAGATTCAAGTATTTTTATTATCTGTGAGGACAGTTTTTGTAGAGAAAGATCTGAAGAAATATTGCTTTCTTTTTGTCAAGTTTTGAGCAGGAGTTTCTGTTTAATTCTTTATCCAAACTTTTTACTTTATCTTTGGTTGTTAACTAATCTCCTTTTCATTTATCCCATTAACCCTACCTACATGGAAAAATCCTTAGTAGGAAAAAAAACTACTTGGAATTGTTAATGTTTGGTAAAATTAGTTCACAAACCTTGTCAACATATTTGGAGAAAAAATATTCATTCATATATCAAAGTTATTGAAGTGATAAAACTTTAATTAGTTTTGTTTGGATTAATTAGATAAATTATAAGTAAACAAATAAAGAAATTAGAATTTGGTAAGAATTGGGTAGACTGTACTATTATTCTTTGTATAACTTTTGTGCTGGGTAAACAATCAGAGGTGGATTTACAATTTAAATTTAGTATTTTAGAATTGAACTTGTGGTACAATTAGTTAAAATCACTATAATTTCTTGTATTTTATATAAATCAAACATTTTCATCAAAAGTATTGAGTTTAAACAAACCCACAGCTATATAATTGCATCCACCACAGTAAATAATAACCCATTTATCCATTCAAATTCACATTCGCAGTGGTAGCTAGTGAAGGTGGTGGTAGAAGTGACAACGATGGTTGGCTGTGTGTATTGGTGATGATTGGTGATAGTGATCGTTAACAACAGCAGATGGTGGTTGTGGTAGTGACGAGCAGTGAACATAATGCTAGTGAAAGCACATCTTCACAAGAATCTTTAAACCCCCACATAGAAAAGAAAGTATAATGAAGAACAAGCAAATTATATATCAAAAAATCCATTTACATTATTGTCAAGCATTATCAATCGCGCCAAGAAGGCGCTACATACAGCAAAACATGGGATATACAATACCCAAGTGTTACATACATCATGAACAACATTTGCAATACTCTATATAAAATGGCAATGTCCTATATATGTTAAGTGTTTTCTTGCTCTCTCTCCCTCTAGTTGGAACATCAACCTGCCAAAATATCGGAATCCTGCATACCAAGCAAGCAAATGAGTAGTATTTGCAAAACAATATTGATCATTTGCACTTTGACATGTAGTTTAGATTTCAGATATACTTAAACTTATCTCCATTCACCCAAAAAAAAATAATTAGCTACAACATTATACTATAGTGTCTGGTTCATAACAATACAACTACAAAGAAGCTAACGCATTATTACAGGTATAGGTTGAGCTATCTTTAACAACTAAGCATCGATATAAAGGGTGCATAGACATACTCAATACTTTTAGCAATTACCTAAAGCCATGCTTGCTTTATTTTGCACCACTTGAGAACAAGAAAATTCTTAGTCCCAACATTAACATAGTTATGGATTGCTGAAGGATTTGTGAAACATAAAAGCGTTTTCTTTGGTACACACATTAAACTATCTCACAATGATTCTTCACATCTAACCTCTTTGTTTCACATCAATCCTACAGCAACCCACAACCATGCAAAATGAAGAGAAAATAAAGCAAGCATGCTCTAGATAATACACCAAAACACAAATAAAGATAGCCTAATTCAAAGGTCATGGAAACTCACAACACTATGTGCTTGACAAGGAAAAGTTCATGAAAAATTGACTAAACATTCTAGAATCAACAGACACTAACACAAAATAATACGATAATCAAAGTACAAGTAGCGATTGGATCTTCAAAAAAAGTTAACGAACAATATGACTAATGCAAATATGTGAACATACTCAAAGATTAAATTAGCATTTACCTCAAACCATGCTTTCTTTATTTACTAACACAAGAAAATTTCAAGTCACACATTCAACATGATTATGGATAGCCGAAGGATTCACGAGAAACACAAAGTGTTTTCTTCCTAACAACTAACTCTTTGAATTCTCCAATGTTCTTCACATATCACTTATTTGTTTCACATTAATCCTTGTGCTACCCATAATCATGTAAAATTATGAAAAAATAAAGAAAGCATGTTCAAGGTTATCTGCCATAAATCTAAATAAACATAACTCAATTCAAAAATAAAAGGGGTGGCGGCTAAGAGCAAAAGAACCCTAATTTTGTGAGATGAAGGATTGAGGACTGAAGGCAAGGTATTTATAGATAGGGTTTTATATTTGGGTTAATAACACTTTTGGTCCCTCAATTATATGTAAATTCTGATTTTTGTCCTTTGTGTGTTATGATTTGATGTATTTAACTTGTAATTAGTTGGAAATGTGTGCTTTTGGTCCTTTTATGTCGAAAATAGGCTATGTTTAGACTATTTTTTATAAGTACATTGAGATACCCTCAATTATAAAGTAACAACTAACAATACAAGTTTGACATAATACACGAGTAATTAAATGTGATTAATAACAAATAAGGGGATCAAAAATGCATATTTCAAGTAATCAAAAATTAAATATATTTAGTTAGATAGTATAAGGAAATTAAAATTTATTAATAGCTATAGTACCAAAAATACTATTAAAACCTTTATATGAAGTTGTAGAATATTTCATAAATTGTTGTCCTCCTTTTACCTTTGAACATATTCAAGCGCTTAAATTTGTATAAATAGAACAAATTTGATCCACTTATCGAATGAAACATTTTCTTTCAATAAATTAATCATAATAATACGTATGCATCCCATGTGGATTGTCGTAATAACAATGTGATAATTGGTTCAAAATAGATCGTTGAATATGTGAACAAAGTTTGATATCAATAGTTGAAAAAAATGAAAAGATACATATAAAATGTAGCAATACTCTTTGTTGATGATTGGACATAGTTTCCCAGTAATTTTTTGATCACTTTTCTTCGTTATTTTATTGGGTTAGAAAACATAGGTAAAGTGACGAGGACTAGCACAAAAATTTGTACCAAGCAAACCGATCAATGTATAAATATCTTTACTATATATGATTTAAATTATAGGTACACATTACGTTTAACGTATCATAAAATAAAAAAAATTATACTACTTATATATATGCTATCGATAGGTTGAAAGAGCCACTAAGGGATTGGATCAATCAACTTTTAGAAAGGACTGAAAGATCCTATGTGGCACGTGAATTGTTCGTGTGAGAGAATGAATTTATCCCTCATGAGTCACTATATTACTCTGATCTTATAAAGATCTTTTGTATTTCAGTTACCGATTAAGTACATTATTTTTCACCTATCTCCTATGAAAATGACAATATAACTAAAAGAGCATTTGTTTGTAATACACATAAAGTCAATATCCCCATCAAATCTTTAGGGTCCATACTGTATGTGTATGGTACCACAGGTAAGTTAAAGCTAATATTAGCTGTAATTGAAAAGGAAAGTCTAGTTGGTAACTCCAACCATGGACCTGGTCCCTTCCCTCAAGCATCTTCTTCCTTTTTTCAAATAGTTAAATGTCACATACATTGTCGGTATGAAGAATTTTTACACTATCAGGTCACATTTGCTTGTTGTAGCAAGTAATATGTCGTATTCTCAAGATTACAAATCTCACATTTTAAGATGGTTTGATTTACCTGTCGATATCCTTTAGATGACCTGATAGAGTAAAAAAAAATGGTCTTTATATTGACTATATATATATAACGAACATTATTCTTTTTGAGTAACACCCAGGCAGACATGCCCTCGGCCTAATGACTCTGGGCGCAACTTGCATTCAAAGACTTTGATGGAAATAAAGATCTTGTAAAAGAATTACACATGGAAACAGTTTTCATTCATCAATCATCACTATACCATATCTACATCCCACATAACTTCAAAAGACTATACATTGGAGTAAAATTTTCTACAAATAAAAGTGAAAGAAAGCATAGATAAAAAACAGGATCAAAATATCACACAAAAACAAACAAAAATGCTATCCACATTTACTGAATAAGAATATCAGATCAACTACACTAGAAGTAGTGCAGTACCTTTTTTCTCATCTACCATCAACTGATGTAAAGGACTCAGCAAATCCAGTAGGCCTTGAGGGGATACTACCCTTAGTGTCTTCAAGGTCGACGCAACTCAAGTCTTTTCCTTCTGATTCTTGCCAGCCCTTGACCATTTGATTGAGTGGAAGACTGTAATCGATACCACAATCGTCGTCTGAATCTTCCTCAAGAGGCTTCCATTTCTCAACGAGCGGGGAGAGCACATTCACAGCATGGGACATGTCAGGGCGTTGGCCAGGCTCTCTTGCTGTGCAGTGACCAGCAAGTTCTGCAACGGTGTAGATGCTCTCAAATGTACTCTCTTGTTTCACATCCAGAGCTGGATCGATTGCTGCAATAAGTTTCTCTTTAGAGGATTTGATGTTCCAGAACCATGCAACTAAGTATTGGCTTTCATTTGGTCTGTCGTCATCAAGTGCCATCCATCCAGTTAACAACTCCATAAGGACAACACCGAAACTAAAGACATCGGCTTTAGTGGTGATTTTACCAGTAACTGTATTAAAACAGCAGGCAAAATGAGTTGGGAAACCAGCAGACGGAAAAGACAGAATCATCTAAAGAAAATCCTAGGTGTCTACAAGAATTAGTCACTAAAGTTGATATTCAATATCATCTTATCGGTGAACAGATTTATTATAGTCCTTAACTTATCCACCCCAAAACAGACAACAGTAACTAAACTATTTGAGTTTTATGTAACTGTACTCATACCAAAGAGAACATCAAATGGCAAATAGAACATCTGTTTCCTGTTTTACAAAATAAAATGTCATGTTAGGAATAAAAGAACAGGAAATGAAATGTTTACCCGCATATTCAGGTGCTAAATATCCGAAAGTTCCAGCTAGCTTGGTGACCACAGAGCCCTTCTCTCCATTAGGGGCGGGTTTCACGAGTCCAAAGTCTGATACTTTTGCTCGGAAATCATCAGTCAGCAAGATATTTGAGGGCTTGAGATCTCTGTGTATGAAGCACTGATGAGCCAATGTATGTAGATATTCCATTCCTCTAGCAACATCTAATGCAATATTCAGCCTCCTCTTCCACGAAAGAGGCTCTAAGTTCAAGCTTTTCCAGTTGAAAAGATGCGTGCTAAGAGCACCTTGTGGCATGTGTTCATAAACCAGAATCCGTTCATTGCCTTCAACAGAATATCCCAACAGAGACACTAAATTCCTATGTCTGACTTTGGAAAGAACAGAAATTTCAGATTGAAATTCATCCAACGCTTTGCTGCTAATTACTCCAGACTCCATTCTTTTGACAGCTATTTTTGTTCCATCATCTAATTCTCCTTTATAAACCACTCCAAAACCACCACGCCCGAGTTCATTTTCTGGAGCAAAGTTCTTGGTTACATCCCTAAGTACTTGAACTGATATGACCAAATTGCCAGCTTCCATCACAGGGTATTTACCACTGTGTATACTAGAAGAACCCCTTCCAGTTAGTATCGAAAGACTTCCTTTAGTTTCATCGGAAATTGCAATCTTGACCATCCGATCCAAATCAGAAGGATCTCTAGGATGAACCACTAGAGAAGTTGGACCTTTGTGCCTATCCATACTCCTCTTTCGAACGTAAACATATAGTAGCATAGCAAAAGAAACTAAAAGTGCAAAACTTGCAATAGGAACCACAAAAATGACTAAGTTAGACTTGGAAGAGCTTGACTTATTGGTCGGCAAAGAGGGTGAAACAGAAGTGGATGTACTATTCTTTTGCAAAGGGCTTGCTATAAGAGGACTAGAGTTCAGTAACGAATTTCCACTCAGGACGAGTTTCAAGGGGGGAGTAAATTCAGGCAGAGGAAGGGAAATGTGGTTATTACTCAAATCAAGCAGAACCAAATGTTTCAAACTAGTCCAACTAGATGGAATAGAACCAGAAATATTGTTAGATCCAAGATAAATATGAGTAAGAGAATCTAATTTTGCAATTGAAGGACTCAAGGTACCAGAAAGATTGGACTTAGGCAAGTTTATCACAATAACTTTTTGGTTAATGTCACAACTTAATCCCCACCACGGCCCGTCACAAGGATTATCTCCTGACCATGATTCAACAAGTTTAGATGGATAATTCAACTCATCAAGGAATTCTAAAAGTGCCATAACCTCAGGTGCACAAATTTTGGCTTGACAAAAAGAGTTAGATTGATAACTAACATTTATAGCTTTGAAATTTGGTATTGGCCCCATAAAATGATTATTATTCAAATCAAGATGGCCTAATGACATATTTGCTAAAGATTCAGGAATTAAACCAACAAGATCATTGCTATTAACATTAAGATCCTGCAGATATGTCAAATTACCAATCTCCTTTGGAATTTTACCTGAAAAATGGTTCCCATGAAGCCAAAGACTAGTAAGTGATCTCATTGTTGAAACCACATCAATTGAACCACTCATGCCATCACCAGACTGATCATTCAACCATAGCATTTTGAGCTCAGAATCCTTAAAAGTACCTGGTATAGTCCCCGAAAGTCGATTCTTGGACAACAACAATACATCTAAAGAAGACATATTTCCAAGAAACTCAGGCAAAGAACCAGCCAAATTACAGTTCATCAAAGTCAAGTTAGTCAATTGAGCTGAACTTTGCAACTCATTAGGCAAACCCCAACCAGTAGTTGCATTCAAAGGATTATCATCCAATGCCAACACCTCTAAACTCACAAGCCCATTAAAGAAATCTAATGGAATACTATCAAACATGTTGAAATCCAAGAAAGCATAGCGCAACTCAGACAAACCACCAAAAGATGGTAACTTTCCACTAAATTTGTTCTTTTGCAACCCCAAATTAGTCAATTTAGACAACTTATTAAAGTTCTGAGGCAAAGGGCCTTTTAACCCCAACCCCATAACTTGAATCTGTTGAATTTTGTTTCCAGTACAAATTATATGAGGCCAAGCTGGAGGACCACAAGGGTCATCACCATTAACTGGCCATTCCAAAAGCTCAGAATTTTCTAACCCTTTCTTGAACTCATTGATAATGGCAAGGTCATTAGGGTCTGTAACGCTGTAAACAACTGAAAAAAGTGAAATGAAGAGTGTAAGAGCAAACCCCATTAGCTGAACAGCCTCCATTGATGATGATTTCACCAAGAACCACTAGACAGCATGTATTGACAAGAATCACATAATCAATAAAGTTGATTTCTTTGTGCCAACTAATGGCTGTTTTTTGTACAAACCCATGTTAGAATTTAGACAAGGAGAGGTGGGAAACATGGGTTGATTCAGATCACTACAAAGCCAAGAATAATGGAGAGATAGTAATATACAGTGTTATAATTGGAGTGAGAAAACTCTATTAGTATGGAATTCTGCACACACTTTGTTGCATAATAAAATAATATCCGTTCCGTTTCAATTTATTTGTTTTATTTTAATTAGAAACAGAGTTTAACAAAGTAAATAGTAACAAGTATCACTATATTAAACACATCACGTAAAAAATTTATATATAAAGTTGCTAACAAAAAAAATACATTCCCTTTAAACATGTCACGAGGAATTTTTGAATTAGAAACTTGCTAATAAAAAAAAGAGAGGAAAAGAAACATTTTTTAAACGGATTAAAAGAAAAAATAAAACAAATAAATTGAAACAAAAGAAATACTAATAACTATGCATCAACTTTATACAAGTTGGGGTCAATAATGTATTTAGGGGTCGTTTGATTGGGAACAGGTTATTATGAGATTAATTATTTCGGGATAACTATCTTGTGATAAGATATTCCACCATATATATGTGATAACTTATTCCATCACTAAAGTATAAGTAGTGGGATAATTAATCCCAAGACTGTGAAATACCTCCAACCAAACGTAAGATAAAATAATCCTATATTTTATTCATAGGATTATTATATCTTAGAACCTCACACCAAACGACTTCAGTATAATCTAGAGAGGAGGGAGAGTATTAGTTACGAATTCGAATAAACTCGACAACTTTTATCATTGTATTTATATTTAAAAAAATTATTAAATAAATATAAATATTTGATTCATTTGATAAATTCAGAACTGATAAAGTTTAATTTTTACTCTACGCATGGAGTATAATCCAATAGAATTAATACAAGTGGTATGGTTGATGAAAGAATATTAAAGAAAAGAAAAATCTGGTTGTGAAGATTTAGCAAGTGATGACCATAAAAAGTGGATCTTCCATTAAAAGGGTTTATTTATGCAAATATAAAATGCAATAGTGGAAGGAAAATTGTCCTAATTTTCTGGGCATTATGAAGTGTTACTGGCCTTAGAAAATATAATAATGACAATTGACAAGGACATTATTGTCTTTTTAGAAAAAGATTATTTATATTATAAGCACATTATTTAACTCTTTTATTTACCTTTTTTAAGGAAAAAGACTTTGGAATTGCTCACACTTCGCTATAAATATTAAAGGTATGAAAATGACATGAAAGTTAAAAAATAACTTATGGCATTAAATAAAAGGATCAAAATAATTGGAGATATATATATATATATATATATATATATTT